ATATATATATATATATCACATTGTTTTGTATTTATGTATAGTTCACCATGCTCAAGTTCTAATTGCTTTAAATTTTCATTAAATATATTATTCAAATATAATTTAAATTTTATATAACTAACCTTTTTGAATGAGATGTCTTGATTTTTTTTATTTACTGCCAGTATCTTTGGTTTTTGATTCACATGAAATAGGGGAAACATCTTTTCTATGTTCAGTAGACAGTTTTGCATCAACAGGAGACACATTCTATGAAAAGAAACATAAAAGCATGAATAGCACTGTGTAAGATTTAGAGTTTTTGAAGAGCAGTCACATGTGTTTGGCAGTTAGTATTTATTTTCATTTTTTAAAAAACTTTGACATAGGCAGAAAGCAGAAAAAAATGAAGTTTCCTTGCTTATGATTTTAATGAATTGTCTTCCTGCTAACAGTTAGTGATATGACTTGGGCAGTGTCAGGTAGGAGATGGAGAGAGAAGCAGATCTACAAGGAGGGCTCCCGAAGTAGTAAACAAACGGGTATGTGCTCTAAGAAGCCGGAAGGAAGGTTCAGAGCAAGGTGGAGACAAACATTCCCAGAACACTGAAAGGAACTCAACGAAGGGAGAAGAAACTTGAACCAGATTAATAAGTCTAAAAGAACAAGTGGATCAGACATGAGTGAGAGGAACAATAAATGGAAAACTGAAGAGGAGCTTCAAGGGGGTACTTTCAAATGTAAACTAATAGTGTCTCTACAGGTATGTTTTACCAGCATTGTTTTCTTTCTTCTCTTCACATTTCATGCAGACTATTTCAGAGGTTTTACAAAGTCAGCAGGGACTCAACCCCTTTCAAAATTCACATATAGGGCCGGGGATTTAGCTCAGTAGTTCCACCGCGTGCCTCAAAATTCACATGCAAACACCATCATACTGAGCCTGTATAACTTCTTTCCCCAAGTTTTTCTCATGAATGAAGATAGGTACTAGACTTCTAAGCACTATGCTTACATTTCATTAATGAAGATAAAGGTAGGGGAAATTACAAAGGGGCACATATCTTGTGTCTTAAGGAGATTTCCTTGAAGTTCTTCTAATGTTTCTAGTAAAATCCCTTTGTCACACAGAACTACAAAGGAGAAGGAAAAGAATGTAGGTCTTGGCTAAAAAAAAAAAGGGGGGGGCATACTGAAGTGTAATGGTAAATTGTTATAAAAAAAAAAAACAAAGTGAGAAGATATTGGCAGGCAATAAACAGTTCACACAGGGAAAAGCTCAGAACCTTAGAGGGAAGTGTATGTTTGCATACTGAAACACTGTTCCAGGTCATTATAACAATCCTGGATGTTTTGTGTACTCTTTTATGGAATCCTTATGTAACACTTCATTTGGCCTTGTTTTAAACTTTAAAGATATGAATGAATCTGATACATAAAACAATCAAGAACTATGCTCTTTCAACCTAGAAATTCTCACAAACATCTTTACTAAATAGAATTAAAGTCACATACTTCTTCTATAACAACTAGTACTGCATTCATGTCTAGTTTTAGTGAATGGGGCCACCTTCATTCAAAACCAAATCAGGTAAATTCTCTGATATATCACAGTTGATAGGATTTTGAAAATAAAAGTGCAGTTTTTACATTTCCACCACTACTGTGACTTGTCTAATTATTCAAATCTCCTTTAAAAAAACCCTACTGGGATATATTTTCTGGTTCCCATATATACAAGTTTCTGCCAAAATTTCTGTACCAGGCAATATAGACATAATCAAATAGGCAGACTCTCTTTTAAATTTAACCATGATACTATCTAATTTATTTGTTGAAAATATTTTGCTTTTATAAAATAACTCACAGCTCTAGGATGTTTTATTGTTCATTACTGATACTAAGAAATATCTGTTCCTAGAATCAATCTGCATTTTTACTTTTCAGTGAAAAATATTAGACTGAAAAGCAATTGTCTTACAAGTGTTGATGAGTATCATAACAGATAAAATAAATTTTCTGTTAGAAATACAACTTACATATTTCTGAGCCATATGTTCTCTGCATGTTTAGAACTTTTAAGTTTGTGAAGAATAATTATAATAAAATAAAACATATCATCAAAATATGATACAATTTTAAGTGTAGCTGCTTCTATTTTCTTTTAAATCCAATTCTTCCATTAAACAAATAGGACAAGATTATATAGTATGCTGCTTGTATTATACAATTAAATCTGTGACAATTGATTGCTACTGCTTTTTGAACCACAAATTCTTCTATAAATTCTCTTCAAAATACAGCATTATTCTTATATCTTCCTACTTCCCAATTGTTATGTTTATTACTATTCTGTCTCTCCTTCCTAACAATGAAATTCAAATATATCCTTTTTTATTGTGGTTATCACATTTTTATCCTATGAAAACAATGTGGGTCCTCAAAGATTTTTGCTGATATTTATTCTTTTATATTCTCCTGAAAGAATAAGAAAACAAAAATGTATGTTTATCAAATCTAAATATCCAATTTCTATTTCAAAGAATTGTAACATAAAAATAATGAAATGTAAAAGAAATTAAACAGGGATTTAGTAACTTTGTTTCAAAAATATGTTTCCTTTACTTCACCCATTTATCCTTTTTCAAGTATCCACTGTAACTGCCATCATTTATAACAATTTTTATTTCCTTGCTTTTATAAAAAATTAATCATGAAGGATTCAAAAGTTACAGTAGATAATGATCAGATATACTAAATCTTTAAACTAAGAATCAAGGAAGCTACTCCAGAAAGGAAAACAAGTCTTTCCATCATGTATATAATTCAAGTAGGAAAAGAAAATGTGTGAAGACTTCTTGTATCTAGGAGATCACGGAGGAGAAGTTAACAGATAACTGTAAATGATCAAATGAAGACTTTGTTTTCAATAATAAATGTGTGTGCTGTTACCTATAACATCTTAAACCTAACACAATAATTTTAGGGAATATTTTAAGGGCATCTGGTAATATTCAACCAAGGAAGAATATAAGCTGAAACCAAATCAGCTACATCAGATACCATTTCATTTATAGTAGGATAAAAGAAAATTCACACTCACATATTCATGGACTAATGGATAAACCTGCATTCATCAATAAATTCAATATTTCATTACTTGTGAAATGTCAGTATTATTCTGTGGTGATCAGAGAGGCTAAGTGAACACATGAAGAAGAGTGAGATTTAATAAAAGGATGCCACCTTGAGAAATATCTCTAATGTCATCATAAGTGAGTTCTCAGCCCAAACTTTATCAATATTTTCACATATAATTTGAATAACAACTTGTAAGAAATGTCTCATCATTTTCCCGATGAGAAAGAAAAGGAACAGATTCACTTAACACTGAATAGAAACCTAAAATATTATTCATGATAAAATACTGGAGCAGCGAATGAAATTAAGTAGATTAAATAGCGGTAAATATTGCAGTAGGGTAAAATACATGTAGTCACTTGAATATACTGCTTGATCTAAAACATAAGTGAGAAGAGGCCAAAGTCTGGCACTTAAGATTAAATTAACATGAAATTCATTGAATGCTGCCATCCTAAGTTATATTAGCCTTCCATCTAGAATGAGGGGAATGACAGACTTGTCATATTCATTTCTGATCAGACCCATAGCTAAAGCACTACATCAAGTCCAGGAAACATTTTTAGATGAAACATGAGCAGAGGGAAAGCTACCTATATTGTTAAAGTAAAACCCACACAAGTAGCCATATATGTATAAGTCTAAAGTAAAGAAAAGGTAACTAAGAGAGATTCAGGCCCCCACTTTCCCACTTTTTCCAATATCCATCTTTCTCATATTGGAAATTATAAATCTGTTGTTTAAATGAGAAAAATGGAATATGTTGTCTAACCCTTCTTCTGAATATTTTTTATCTAAGCCATTTGCAAAACGTGGTGATTGTAGCTGCAAAATATATTTCAAATTGATTAGTTTCTCTCCATTTTCAGTATTATTTAAGGAAGGCTGTAATCATGTGTATTTAATCGCAAATACATCCTAATGGAAATTATAAAACACAGTGTTTTAACACAAAATAAATACAAACTGGTCAAAGTATAAATCTGGTCATGTTTCTTTTAAATTTTAAATTCTGATTCCTACTCAACATTTTAAGTCTTTATGAGCTACAAAAATTCAGCAAAATGTGACATCCTCTAGCCAAACTTATCTGATGTTACTCTTAACTTTATTACACCCCTGCACACCAGATTTCATTCAGTTCCTCGAACACCTTCCAAAGAAATCCAGCTCAAATCCTTGCGCAGTTTCTTCCTTCCTCTTTGAATGCTGTCTTTCCCATACTTTGCCGGGTTTGCTCCTTATCCTTCAGGTTTTAAATACTATCTTTTCCTAACAACATTTTGGACCAACCTTACGGGAACTAATCTCCATCTTCTTATTCTTCACTCAAGACACTATTTGTTTAATTTATAATGTTTATCACAAGTTTGTTTAGTTAGGTTACATTTTCTCCCTAGAATCTAGCCACAAGGGCAAGGACTTTACTTAGAGTATTTTACTCAGTGCTGTGAGTCATCTCTGGCATTCAATACTCAATCAAATGTTAAGTGAACAGTAGTGCCAAACAGAAATACAATTAGGAATGGGTGGAGGCTCAGAAACTTTGGTTCAATATATTATAAAATAGAGCTGCATCCTTTGGAGATAACCCAATAATAAGAAATAATTGTAGAAGGAAGTTATAGGCTGCGTTTTTATCGAATGCTATCCCCATGCATTTTCAGCATTCCTTCATTTCTGAATTTGTTTATACTTTAAAGATACTCCAAAGCTTTTTACGCAGAAAATCTTCGTAATTCTTACAGTGACTTCTAAGCTATTTATCGTGTACATTCACTTGAACTCTAAAATTTCTAGGATCTCATCTGACTTACCAGTGCCTGATTTCATTACATGGACAGAATAATAGGTAGGAACAATTATATCATTACTCGGAGAAGTATCTCTATCTGTTTCATTGATTCTTCATCCTAATAAGCTAAAGAACCAAAACAGTAATGAAGCTCTTCTTACATGAAAGAGCTCTTCTTGAGAGTAGAGAAACAATCAAAATATTCTACAGAAGGTATGAAAGTGGAAGATACCTAATATAGGAATACATTTCACCTAATTATAAAATATCTCATAGGGTTACTAAAAATTGAAATAGATTAGCTGAGGATGGATAGAGTTTCTTATAACTGCAA